ATAACTGAGTTTGTTCAATTTGTGTGTGTGCGTGCACGCATGTATGGAGTGGTGGCGGCAAGTGGGCCTGGGAACCCCAGTTGTACAGTTAACTAATATAAGGTCTCTTTATGGCTGTGTCACCTTGACTGTCCTGGAACTCACTGCGTAAACCGGGCTGGCCTCTGCCTCCTGAGGAGGACTGGGGATAAGGGCATGAGCCACCACACCTGACAACTACCTTTGTCTCAGTTTGCACTGGTTGTGGCTTTCGGTGAATGTCACATCCCCGTTTTTACAGGGAGCAGGTATGTTCACTCTTTTTTTGTCAACAAAATGGAGGAATCTCTAGAACTCTGCCCCAGTTTAGAACCTGTCTAGCGTTCTGTCTGAAACCTTAGAGACTTGTATAAGCTGCAGTTTTAATCTGAAGTGTCCCCTGGGGTTACTATTTTGGGAGGTTGTGGAAACCTGAGAAAGTGAGGCCTATTTGGAGGAAGTAGGTCAGTGGATGAGGGCCTCTAAAGGCCATTGCTGGGCTCCATGACATCTTGCGCAATGCTTCCTGCTCACCATGAGGTGATAAACCTCTCCAACCCCCCCCCCCCCCCGCTCCTGCTGCCATGACATTTTGGTCTAAGTGCCTGGAGTACACCAACTATGGACTGACCCTCTAAAACTGAGAGCCAAGATATGTTTTCCCTCCTTGAAGTTATTCTAGAAGGTATTTGATGACTATGATGATGACGGAGTAGCCCATGGGCACACAGCAACTCCCTTAACCGGCTCTAGGTTGTAGTGAGCAAAGGAGAGTGACGGTTGTGATCTGCTTATTTATATTCATGGCATCAGGGGATGCAGCCACCTTGCCCCTGAGCTACACATGAAGTCCACCCTAGTCCTGCCCATTAATCTCAGTACTAGGGGTGGGGGAGTATGATTTCGAGGCCACTCCTGGGCTGCTAACATGGACCACAGAGGGAGACCATATCTTAAATGAATAAAAGAAAGAAGGACAGGAGAAGGAGGGAGGGAAGAAGAGCTGGTGTGTAGCTCTAGGCTCTTGGTACAAGCTCTAATGCTGTTCCCCGAAAGCTGGCCTTACTATATGCCTTAATATGCTTCTCTGTTGCTGTGATTAAACCCTGACCAAAGCAACTTGGGAAGGAAAGGGTTTGTTTAGCCTACAGGTTACAGTCCACCCTGGAGAAAGGCCAGGGCAGGAACTCTGAACAGGAACCTGGAGACAGAAACTAAAGCAGGAACTATGGAGGAATGATGCTTCCTGGCTTGCTAGGTGCTTTTTTTGTTTTTCTTAAAAAACTCACAATCATCTGCCTAGGAATGGCACTTCCCCCTTCTCTACCCCAAACCCTTCCAAGAGGGAGGGATTGAAAGATGTTAGTGGGGAGATGGGGTGTAGTTCTCTTTAGGATTTAGGGTCATCTGGCTCCTTGGGGCAAGACAAATCTTCATAGTCAGGGTACCTCACACTTCTCATCAAACTGCAACAACCGAAACCAGGAGCAGCAGGGAGGAGCAACAGGGAAGAGCAGCAGGGAGGAACAGCAGGGAGCAGCAGCCTTCTTCAGCCCCAGAGTGACTCCTCCCACCCCGTCCCCCAGGCTCTGGCATTTATTTCTTCTCTGACAAAGATTACACTCCTCTCAGAGCCCACAGGAGGCAAACAGTCTGTGGCTGTAGATAATCTGAAGCAGCCCCATATCCCACACCTGGGATTAAAACAAAAGCATGTAGCTGAGCTCAGTGTCCCACGCCTGTAATCCCAGCACTCAGGGGAGGCAGAGGCAGGTAGATCTCTGTGAGTTCAAGGTCATCCTGGCCTACAAAGCAAGTCCAGGACAGCCAAGACTACACAGAGAAACCCTGTCTCAAAAATAAAATAAAGCCCCTAAAACATTTTTATATAACATAACTGAGTTTTCAAAGAAACCAAAACTTCCACTACAGTTGAGTTGCTTTTTTTTTTTTTTTTTTTTTTTTAATTTTATGTGTATATTTGTGTGGCTGAGGGTAGGTACTTATATCACATGTGTTCAGTGTGGAGATGGGAAAGGATCCCCTGTAGCTGGAGTTATGGCCAGTTATGAACCACCATATAATTGCTGGGAACTGAATCCAGATCTTCTGGAAGAACAGTAAGCACTCTTAACCACTGAGAGACCTCTCTAGCCCCTAGCTTTGTCTTTTGAATTCACTCCAGGGAATTTTCCCAGGGAATGGTCTGCCCAAAGTTAGGGTGAGTCTTCCTACCTCAGTTAACCAAATCTAGAACCTCTCTCATGGACATGGCAAAAGGTTTGTCTCCTGGATAATTTAGATCCTGTTGACAATACTGACCTTTCCAATGACAAATGAACTACTCTTATTGTCACTAGTGTTAAATGGTTAATTAATGAAGTACTTATGTATCACAATGCTCAGAATGTAACACGGACTCTACAAATATTAGATATAATCACCACTGGGTACACAAATGATATAATTGTTTTTCATTTACTGTTACACTTTGTAGTTAAGAAAATGTACTAAAATAATAATACAGAAAAAAAAAAACACAGAACAAACAAGCAAACATCATCCCCCCAAAAACAAAATTAAAAAACAACAACAACAAAAAACAAGAGTTAGGCAGATGGTGGTGGTACATGCCTTTGATCAGCACTTGGGAAGCAGAGGCAGGCAGATCTCTGTGAGTTCAAGGCCAGCCTGGTCCACAGAGTTTCAGGACAGCTAGGGCTACACAGAGAAACTCTGTCTCAAAACAAAACAAAACAAAACAAAACAAAACAAAACAAAACAAAAAAACGAACCAGGCATGTTGGTGCATGCCTGTCATCCCAGCACCCAGCATTCAAAGCCAGCCTAGTCTACAGAGTTCCAGGACAGCCAGGGCTAAAACAGAGAAACCTGTCTTGAAAAAACAAACAAAAAACAAAAAAGCCCCGTGTCATTCCTATACAAGAACGACTCACAAACTCAGACCTTCCAGATTTTTTGAAGATGTCTCCTGTAGCCAGGGTAGCCTCATACTTGCTACGCAGCAAAAGTGGCTTTAAATAAATTCTTGATTCTTAAATTCTTGATTCTTCTGCCTCCTCAAGTGCTGGGCTTTCAGGCATGTACCATCACACAAGGTTTACGAGGTGCTGGGCATGGAATTTAAGGTTTCCATATGCTAGACAAATACTCTACCAACTGAACTATACCCCCTCTCCCTCAGCCCTGCAAAATTATGAAACATTCCATATTTTTGTATGAAAACTCAAAAGAAATCAAAATTAAGATGGGGAGATGGCTCAGAGGTTAAAATGCTTGCCACACACAACAAACCTGATAGGGTTTGGATCCTCAGAACCCAGGTAAAAGCAGAAAGCAATAGATTACAGATTCTTCCTCTAAACCCTTCACTCCTAACAAGGGAATCCTGGGAAGTCACGGGGCTGGCTAGCCTTGGCACACGGCACTGAATCATGAGAGATCTTTTCTCAGGAAAGGTGGAAGGTGAGAACCCACATCCTCTGACCTCCGCAGGCATTCTACAGCAGGCAAGAGCCTACATTCACACAGGAGCACAGAAGCACAAACACTCAGGCAAAAACATGCACACATCTCATACCCACACAACACATGAAGAAGTAAATAATGAATAAACTAAAAAATTAGGAGAAAATGTTCTGTATACTACAAGACTGCATTTTCTCTTTCTTTCGACTCTGTTCATCAGCTAGGACCAGAACAAGCAAATGAACACCCCCCTCCAAAAAAAGAAAAAAATAACCCCCACCAAAAAAATAAATAAATAAATAAAAAGTGTTAGCCAGGCGGTGGTGGTGTGCATGCCTTTGATTCCAGCACTGGGGAGGCAGAAGAAGGTGGATCTCTGTAAGTTACAGGACAGCCTGTTCTACAGAGCGAGTTCCAGGACAGCCAGGGCTACACAGAGAAACCCTATTTCCAAAGGCCCGGCATGAAGTTCTTTTTTTGGTTTTGGAGACAGGGTTTCACTCCGTAGCCTTGGCTGTCCTGGACTCGCTTTGTAAACCAGGCTGGCCTCGAACTCAAAGAAATCCACCTGCCTCTGCCTCCCCCCAGTGCTGAGATTACAGGCATACGCCACCAAGCCTAGCTGCACGAATTTCTTGATAAACATACTGACAGAAAATAACCAAGTAATTTTTTTTGAAAGAGAGACGGTTTCTGTCTATTAATTATTTCATAATTTGAAGACTTCCTCCCTTGAGCAAAAGCAACAAATGAAAGTCGACGCGCACTATGCGCTGTCATTTGAGATCTGAAGAATTACGCTCCGCAGCTCCGTCTTCCGGGACTGAGGAAGTCTAAGCCTTTATCCGTTCTTTGGAAGAAAGAGCCCCCAGGAGGGCCGCTGAAGTGCAGTGATGTCATCGGTAGGTGGCACTGAAATTGGGATGTGGGGCCCACACAATTAGTATCTCTGATGTGGGATAGCTAGCTGCTTCCTAGAGACCAAGGCTTCTGCGGGGGAAGGGCAGGTTCTGAGATGGAGATGGTATGGGCCATCTCTTCAGGAGGCCTGACTTCAGGGACCAGTGAGAGTAGGGGCAGCACCGGGGAGGCCTCAGAGGTGAGGCCCCACCACCCTGGGGCTCCTCCGTTAACTGAGCTTTTCCTAAAGCCAGCCGACTAAAGTCCTGACTTAGGCTAATTTTCCTCGTTTTTCTCTCATCACTTCCCTGGCACCACCCCGGAGCCAGGGACGGAGCTAAGGTGGAGTGAGGCACCTGAAATGTCTATTTTGCTTTCTTCAGCCCGGTCACGTGCATTATACGATCCTCTGCTGGTCTTCGGCTTGGAAACCGCCCGCGAGCCGTTCCCCGAGGGCTCGCGGCCGCCCCTGGGCCCCGACGGCGCGCCTGCCGCGTCGGGAGGCGGGGCCTGCTGGCCTGACGTCACGCGCCACACCCCGCCTTCCAGATATTGGCGGTGCTGCCCGCCATCTTGTCTCAGTGTCCGGCTTGGCGGCGGAGGCGGAGGCGGGCTGCGCAAGTCCGTGAGTGCGAGGCGCGCCGGCTCTTTTGTCTGAGTGCGACCCGGCGGCGCGTTCCCAGGCCTTCCGGTGGTTTGCCCCGGGCAGTCCGCAGACGCCGCAGCGGCCGCCCGTGCTCTCGGTTCGGTCCCCACACCCGGGAAGGACCGAGCCCGCGTCACGCCCCTCAGCGCCCTCCGAGTCCCTTCTCTGTCGCCGCGTCCGAATCGAGTTCCCGGAATCAGACGGTGCCCCATAGATGGCCAGCTTTCCTCCGAGGGTCAACGAGAAAGAGATCGGTGAGGCCCAGGAGGGAGCGGGGGCGCGGGGACGACGGGCAGCCTGCGAGGGGGCTGGCGCCGGGGCCGAGCGGTGGGCCGCGGGGAGAAGCGATGCCGAGGTCCGTGAGAAGCGGGGCCCCGGGGCTGAGGCTCGGCCGAGGCGGGGAGAGGCGAGGACCCGCGCCGTGCGGCGGGAGGAAGCGGCCGCGCGATGGGCGTCGGCCAGCCCTGAATGGACCCGCGCCCCGGAGCGGGCCTCCGACTTGCAGCGAGGCCGGCTTCCCCGCCCCGCCTACCCCAGGGACCCCGTCACAGCTCTGCGGGCCCGAGGTCCTGGGATTCTCTCGGCCTGGGGCTTGGCTGCAGCATTGCTAGCATAGGGCTGAGTGGCCTGTCTTAGGATCTCTTAAGTCTGTAGTGGAACAGAAGTGAACGGTGGTGTTTGGAGGTGCGGTAGAAGTTTCTTTATGTCAGGCACCCCCAATGAGAAAGCGGCCTGAAGGGGTTCCAGCAGCGTGGAAAACTTTCCTTTTTAGTTTTTTAAAGGATGGCGCTAGGAAAGTGAAGGGTTCAGAGGAGGGACTGTCTTCCCTGTACACACGGTAGGAGCAGTGTGAATAGGTGGGGTGACTGATGGAGGGCTATTTTACAGAGGATGAAGTCTGGGAAAGGGCTCAGGAGAGGCCCGGGTGGCTAGCCCTGTCGTGCGCTGGGCAGAAGACAGGACAATGGGGAGTGGAAGGGTGTGGACCAGACTTGCCCAGTGGCCCCTTTAAAGCATTTAGCATTATTTAAATCCTCTCAAAGGAGCCACTTTTGAGGCCATTGGATGAGATTCATTGATAAAATCATTAGCAGACACTGACATTACTGGTTGGTTTTTTTTTTTTTTTCTTTCTTTTGTTGTTAGTTGCCCTGGCATGGTAGTTCTAGAGGCAGAGAGGCAGGTGCTTGAGATCAGTCTGGTATGCATAGCCAGTTCCAGTAGCCAAGGCTACGTAGTGAAATCCAGTTTGCATTTTCCTGCTGTTGCCGTCGGTGACTTTGTCAAGTGTTTGGAGGAGGTATTTCTAGGAAGGGTGGGAAGCTGAGGTAGTCAAAAGTTTCTTTCTTTTATGTGAGTGGATTTCTGTACACACATGGCTGTTATCAGAACTGGATTTTTTACCCCTGAAGGATGAAGTTGAATGGCTGATTAGCAGGTGACTTTAATGTTTTCTAACCATGTTCAAGCTACAGAAATCTCTCCCTGATGGGGGAGCAGCCTTACCAGGCCACAGAGGAAGACAATGCAGCCAGTCCTCTATGAGACCTGATAGGCTAAGGTCAGAGGGACCTCCCCTATCAGTGGATTTGGGGAGGAGCATAGGAGGAGAAGAGGGAAGAAGGGTGGGAGTGGGAGGGAATGAGGCAGAGGGCTACAGCGGGATACAAAGTGAAAAAACTAATTTATAAAAATTCAAAAAAGCTACAGAAATCATAAAATTTGATTTTTATCTGTACTTTAAAGATAAGTGTTTTGAAACCCAGCCATTTAAATTTTGTTTTATTAGTAGTAGTAGTAGTTGGGATTGAACTCAGGACCTTGTGGATGCTGGACAAACATTGCTACTGAGCTGTGTCTCCTGCCCTCAAAGTCTTAGGACCTGAGCAGTGGTTTTTCCTCTGCTGTCTATACCAGTAATATTGATGGTACATTTATCTGTACTTTGAAAACTTTCTTGCCCTGTCCTGGACTCACTTTGTAACCCAGACCTCCCCTCTGCCTTTGCCTCCCAGAGTGCTGGGATTATAGGCCACCACACCCAGCTCTCTTGCCCTCTTTTTAAAGAGAATAAATAGTGCTTTTATTTATTTCATGAGGATGATTCATTAATCATCATTAATAGGCAGGTATCATTAAATACCTGCCTATTAATTTTTAAGAGTTTTTTTTTTTCCACTTTGTATCACCTTATTGCCTGGATATAATATAAAAAAATTAAGTGCCAAATGTCTTGGAATTTGGCCTTTCCTAAGCCAAGTTTTTCACCTCTTTTTATTTGAAGTGTCATTTGGATAGAAGGTTAGACATTTTTCTCTGTATAGCATGGTGTTTATAAATGAACCCTCCCCACTCCACCCTCTGGCATGAATTCTAGTCATGTCCAGTTTGGATTTTCTTGTACATACTGAAAGAGGAGGCAGGACTCTATAAAGAGTTCTAGGGCAGGGACATAACTGCCCTGAGCTACTGCCCTCTTTAACAAGACACTGCCACACTTCCTTTCTAGTTATGAAATTGGAGGGTGGAATGTGAAGAAATCTGGTTGACCCTGTTGAGTGGTGACTCATGATGTAGCTGCTGTACAGATATGTTGTATTTTAGAGCCAGTTTCCCACGGCCCCTTCAGTGTTGGGACTGTATCCAGGTTCACGAAGTTACGATGTTGTCATTAATAAATTTTTTTTCAAAACACTTTAGTATAAACCTTACTCCAGGTTAGTAATATATTTCTAGTCAGTACTTGAGCATTGTTTAGAGTATAAAAGTCACTTGGTGTGCCTGTTAGCCAACAAGGAAACTTGAAGGCAATTAGAAAAACACTGACCAAGTAACATTTATTTTATAGTTTTTCTAGTGGTGCTGGAATTGCATTTGAGGGTAGTTAGTTTATTGTTTCATGGTGTTTGGTGTTTGAACCAGCTACATCTCTATCCCTTGCTAACACTTCATAAGGACAAGTGGCCAATTTTTTTTTTTTAAGTAACCTTAAAATATAGACTTAAAATCTTTTGTGGGATGTGGTGCATTCTACTTAGATTAACCTAGGAACGTTCTCTTTTAAAACTAATACTTCCATTTCCTTCTCTCTCTTTTTTTCTTTAAGTGGAATTTAAAAACTTGCTTCTCTTATTTGTGAACAAGGTCCTTTCCACTACAATTCATGACTTGGCCAATAGATAAAGGTTAAACAGGAACCCCAGTTTTGAGAGTCACGGCATATAAAGAGAACCCCAGGGAAAGGACCATGTAGGAGAGTAGGTTTGGAAAAGTGCAGGAAGCCTGCAGCAGTGTGCTCTTTCTGAAGTTTATGCATTGAAAAACCATTCTGCAGGCATCTGAGGCTCACTAGCTCATGGATCTTAGGTCATACTCATGTGACTGCCAGGAAGATGAATGTGAGTTTATGTTGTGTTGCTGCCCTTTGAGTAAGTGGGGTGCCCTACCTCTGTTAAAGCCACACCAGAAAGTACAATGTACAGTTCTGGACACCACTTTTTTTTTTAATGTATTACAGTTTATTCACTTTGTATCCCGGCTATGGCTCCTTCTTTCTTCTCTCCTGTGCTCCTCCCCTAGTCCACTGATAGGGGAGGACCTCTTTCCCTTCTATCTGACTCTAGCCTGTCAGGTCTCATCAGGACTGGCTGCATTGTCTTCCTCTGTGGCCTGGCAAAGCTGCACCCCAGGGTACCACTTTTCTAAGGACCACTACTAACTGGAATTTGTTCTGGAAAATTAAGGTAGAAAAAGGTGGAAAATGGGCTTAAAACTTTGTAATCTGGGGAATGATTGAAAGAACTAGAAATAGTGTTCCCTAGAAAAGACTCCACTGTTTATATCATGTATATCATGAGGACAAGATTTTTGTTGTTGTTTTTGAGACAGAGTTTTTCTGTGTAGCCCTGGCTGTCCTGGACTCATTTTGTAGGCCAGGCTGGCCTCGAACTCAGAGATCCTCTTGATTCTGCCTCCCAGGGTGCTAGGATTACAGGTGTGTGGTGCTATAGGCTTGAGAACAAGGTTGTGTTGTTAATTAGGTTTGTTCTCTCAGACCAGAATCAAGATTGAATAAGTGATAAGGTAGAAGGAAGATTTTGAGAGGTTTTTTTGTTTGTTTGTTTGTTTTTGTTTTTTGTTTCATTTTCTTGAGGCAGGGTTTCTCTGTATAGCTCTGACACTCACTCAGTAGACCAGGCTGGCCTCCAGAGATTCTTGTTTGCCTCTGCATTCCCAGTGATGGGATTAAAGGTGTAGCCACCATAGTCTAGCAGATTTTGAGTATTTAAAAAAGGAAACATTGGCCAGGCATGATGGCAGAATCAAGTGCCTCTCTGAGTTCAAGGCCAGCCTGGTCTACAAAGCAACTCCATAGTCCAGGGCAGCCAAGGTTACTCAGAGAAACCTTGTCTTACGAAAAAAAAAAAAGAAAAGAAAACAATGTTTAAGTATAGTTTTATTTATCTTAGTGATGGGTATTATATTTTCATACAAGAAGGAAACTTTGAGAATAATGTAGGAAAGTGACTATCAGGTTTCTTGGTGGGTTTTAAACTACTCATTTGATTTGGTAAATGTATCAAAAATTGGGCTAGAAACATACCTGAATACCTTAAACGTGGAAGTTTATACGTGTGCTTTTCTGTTTGTTAGGTAAATATTAATTGAGCATTTGTTATGCTAGGTGCCATACCAGCTACTGATGGAGTACACAACAGACTAGAGAGTTCACTGAACAGGTCCTCTTTCCCCATCTGGATCCCAGGGCCATGCTTGCTAGGCAGGCATTCTGCCATTGAGCCATATCTCCAGATCCCACTCTACCTTTTTAAAATTACATTTATTTATTAAGTGTGGAACAAATTGTGAGAATATGTTCTCCCCCTTCTGCCATGTGGGTACTGTGAATTGAACTCAAGTGGTCAGGCTTGGCAGCAGGTATATATACCCACCAAGCCATTTTGCTGGCTGTCCAGCTCTTCTGAGTGACGGAATTTATTTTATTTTGTTATTTTTTTAAATTTTAGCTTGGGCTGGCTTTGAACTGTCCCTGTAGCTGAGGTGACCTTGAAATTTCAATCCCGTTTTCTGCCTGTCCTGTACTATGATGAAGATGGAAACCAGGGCTTGTTATGTGCTAGTAAGACCACCTGAGCCTAGGGTTTATAGTTCTTAAAAAATAAAAATCTTACTTCCCCTCCCCTTCTTTTCTCTTTTTGCCTTTCTCACTTTCATGGAATCTGCCTACATAGTCCAGGCTGGCCTTAAACCTTATCATCCTACCTACAGCTCCACACCACACTGAAACTATGTGATAAGTCTCATTTAGCCCAGGCTGGTTTTGAACTACTGATCATCATAAGCCTTCTAAGTGCTGGGATGATAGTTGTGCCCATCATGCCTGGTGATGATACTTAAATCTTGCATTGGAAAACTATTATAAAAGCAAAATTAATCTCTAATGTTTTATGGGTGGAAAGCAAACAAGACCCTGTCTAAAAGAAAAGGAGAAAACCTCAGCAAATTCCAAAGTAATGTGGGGGGCATCTCAATCCGTTGTTGGTTTTATATAATGTCTTGCTGTTTCTGTTTGTTTTAGTGAGATCGCGTACTATAGGGGAACTTTTAGCTCCAGCAGCTCCTTTCGACAAGAAATGTGGTGGTGAGAACTGGACTGTTGCTTTTGCTCCAGATGGTTCCTACTTTGCATGGTCACAAGGATATCGTATAGTGAAGCTTGTCCCGTGGTCCCAGTGCCTTAAGAACTTGTAAGACTTCTTTCTTGCTTTGTGTTTGTAGAACATACTGTTGTCTTTCAGTGTTGTTGGGTAATAAAATATTTAAGTTTTCTTTTCTAGCCAGTGTTTATTTGTAATTTGAGTCAGCATTGAAGATAGTGTGAAATATTACCTGAGCTGGGCATGCTGGTGCATCCTTTAACCCCAGAACTTGGGAAGTGGAGGCAAATGGGTCTCAAGGTTAGCCTGGTCTATACAGGACAGCCAGGGCCATATGTAATAGACTTCATCTTATTAAAAAAAAAAAAAAAAGGAATAGTTCTCTAGGTGGGTGTGGTAGTCCATGCCTGTACTACCAGCACTGGGAAAGCAGGGGCAAATGATCTCATAGTAGACCAGCCTGGTCTACATAGTGAAAAAGTCTGGACTTTGTACATCAGAGTCTTTTAATATTTTCTCAGGTATTTATGCTCCCACCACTGCCCCACTGAACTCCAGGGCCTTATGTGAGGTTATTGTGCCGCACATTAGTGTGTGTCCTCTTGTGTCAGATCATGCAATCTTTGTCGGGTAAAGCTTTTTGTTTCACTTTGGATTTCACACACTTTGTTGGCTAACAGTAGTGTATAAACAGATTTTTCTCTAATAAGATAGTTCTACAATGTGGCCCAGATTGCCTTTAAACTCTTGATCCTGTCTCAGGTTCCTGGGTCTTGCTGTCTGGATGTGAGCCACAGCCCCTAGCTTATTGGAATAAGTGGGTGGGGCTTTAGCCTAGGCCACCTTCAAAACTCAGTATGTAGCCTAGGATGACTTTGAACTTCTAATATTTCTGCATCTTTACTCAGAGTTGCTGGAATAACAGGGTATACCACCACACCCCATTTATGCTGTGATGGAGATCAGAACAGACTTCAAAGTTCTCTGAAGTCTCTAGCTTCTAATTTTTTGAAACAGTTTAGGATCCATAAAGATGGGTTATGTAAAACTTGATACTTTGGTAAATGAGCTAAGTTAGTCCTTTTCATGTTGAAAAGTTACCATGTTGCTCATCATCTCTGCACTTCTGTGCATGAACAAAATGTTACAGGTCTTAGAGTCACCATTCCTGTGGTAGGAACTGTCTCAGGTGATACACACTGGCCAGTGCTGCACACTGACAACAGCGTCCACTCTTAAGTAGAACCCAACCAGGCTGAGCACTGCTCTGTTAAAGACATCCTATTAAAGACAGTTTGGAAGGAAATGTTGTAAGTTGCTCTCTCATGGAGGATTCTCTTCCACCAATAGTTTTTAGGAGTTGAAAAGTCTGGTCTCATATTTTAGATACCAACTTTGCCTTCTGTAGAAAAAATATATTTTTTTTGGAGACAGGGTTTCTCTGTTTCTCTGTGCAGCCTCGGCTGTCCTGGACTTGGTAGAACAGGATGATGGCCTGGAATGCACAGAGATCTGCCTGCCTGTACCTCCCAGAGTGCTGGGATTACATGTGTGCACCACCATGCCTGGCTTTCCTTTTGTAGAAATAATGTTATAATTAGTTAGTTATAATTACAGTTAGTGTCTATAGAAGTTCAGTATAAAGAAGAATTAATTTTCAATCTTTTCCGCCCTCAGTCTTCTACATGGTTCCAAGAATATCACCAATTCAAGCTGTCTGAAATTGGCAAGACAAAATAGTAATGGTCAAAAAAATAAGCCCCCCGAACACATTATAGACTGTGGAGACATAGTCTGGAGTCTTGCTTTTGGGTCTTCAGTTCCAGAAAAACAGAGTCGTTGTGTTAATATAGAATGGCATCGGTTCAGATTTGGACAGGATCAGCTTCTTCTTGCTACAGGATTAAACAATGGTCGCATCAAAATCTGGGATGTGTATACAGGTATGGATTCATTGTTTCAAAGGATGAACCTAATTATTTTATGATGAAAGGACTGGAATATGTGATTTGAGGATTTTAATGTACAGAAAAATGAGAATTGATGTGATGTGTCTTTATAATTATTATAAGTCTTCAGTTCATAATTTTAATCTCAGAGAATAATAATAGTTCATACTGCATGGTAAAGTATGCAAAGCATGTTTGGGTCTTATTTTAATTAGTTATTTATAAACTAATAATTTATGACTCATGTCTTATATGCCTTTTCTATGATAGCTTAGAAGTTTTCAAGGGAGATTTTTTTTTTTATCTCAAGCAGTCCTCAAACTCACTGTGTAGCTGAGGATGACTTTTAGCTATGTTCCTCCAGCCTCCATGCTCTTCCAGCTGCCACATTCCTGAGTGCTGGGATTGCAGGCATGTGCTGCAACTCCCAGTTTTATGCAGTGCTGGGAATCCAACTCCAGGGCTTCACATTGCATGCTAGGCAAGCACCTGTCCCATGTCCAGCTACGAATCAGAAGTTTGGTTTGATTTGTTTTTGAGACAGGGTCTCTCTAGAGTCCTATTTATTCTAGAGCTCACTATGTAGAATAGGCTGGCCTCAGACTCACAGAGATCTGCCTGCCTCAGCATCTGCCTCCCAAGTGCTGGGGTAAAAGGCATGTACCACCTTGCCCAGCTTGCAAATGAGACTTTTAATAATCGATATCCAATCTTCAGAATGTTTTAGTCACTTTAACCAACATCCTATATCCATATAGGTTGAAAAGTTGAATTCTTTGAGCAATTAAGTGTTCAAGGTGGGCAGGGGTGGCACATGCCCTTAATCCCAGCACTCAGAAGGCAGAGGCAGGAGAATCTCTGTGAGTTTGAGACCAGCCTGGTCTACAGAGTGAGTTCTAGGTATGCTAGGGCTATCTAGAGAGACCCTGTCACAAAACAAAACAAACAAAAGAAAAAAGTAAGTGTTCAAACTGGTGATCCACAGTTGTGATTCCAACATGGAGAAGGCTGAGTGCCCAGCGTGGTGTACATAACAACCTGGAGGCAGATAGAACTGCACAGTTGAGATAGCATCTCCATCAAGGATGGGGGATGGACCTCAGTGGGAAAGTAGGTAACTGAGCATTGCTTCCATCTGAGATTCAGTACTCAGCAGCAGTAAAGGAAAAACGTTTTGATTTTGTTTTAGTTTCTGACATATTCTGTGTATTCACAAACATAAAATAATCTAGTGGGCATTAAAGCAAGGTGTACCTCAGAACACAGTAATAATGACATTAAATTGGGGATGAGGAAGCAGTTTGATTGGCTTATTGGGAAAAAATTAAGGTGACCACAGATGTTTCTAGAAAACAAAACTTCTAGTAACTGATAAGTACTTTGTTTAGATAATGTTAAAATTAAAAGGTATGAGATAATGCTTACTTTGTGGGATATTTGATAGTCCAAGGCCAAGGAAATAGAAAGCAAAGAGAAAAGTTGATATTTTCATTTTGTTTTAAAGTTAGACTGTACAAGTACTTAGAAAAGACAGTGGTACACACCTTTCTTAATGCTAATTTGATCTAGGGGTTTTCTTACATTTAAAAGCCAGTCTTACATGGTTCTAATAAACGCAGGGTTTGTTGTCTTGGGAAGGTAGTACTGGAAAGCCTGAGTAGTGAGTCCTCACAGGTAACAGCAGCCACTAATTAAAAAGGAAAATAGTTTACTTCATAAAGCAAGGAGATACCCAAGAATCTCCATTTTTACAATCAGCAAAACTATGAAAATAGAAGATAAGTAACTGATCTTGTCTCTTTTTTTTCTCCTTTCAATCACATTTAGGAAAACTCCTCCTTAATTTGGTAGATCATATTGAAGTGGTCAGAGACTTAACTTTTGCTCCAGATGGGAGCTTAATTCTTGTATCAGCTTCAAGAGACAAAACTCTCAGAGTGTGGGACCTGAAAGATGATGGTATGTGTGTCTTTTGTCTTTTCCCCAGCTGTGTAAAAGAATGTTAGGTTTTTTTTTTTTTTTGAGGCTGGGTGTCTCTATAGCCTTAGCTGGCCTGAAAAATCACTATGGTAAACCAGGCTGGCCTCTGCCTCTTGAGTGCTGGAATAAAGGCGAGTGCCTCCATGCCTGGCCAAGCCTCTTAATATTACTATTAATACTAGTATTAATATTAGTAATAGTTACTATTGAGTGATTATTGAGTGATTTTGGGTGAGTTTCCCTGAAACTCTTCCAGGACACCAGTAATCATAGGGAGGTAAGGCCAGGAGAATTGAGAGCTCCTGGACAAACTTGGCAACTTAGCAGTATATCAGAAAACCACAAACCAAGTGGCTTGGTGATCAAGGTTTCCTTCCTTTTGTCTGATTAATATTTGGATCCCTTTCCTATATATATTAAAAAAAAAAAAAGTTAAGACAGAACAGGAACCAGCAGTTACTATAATAAACAGTCTTGACACTGCTCAGAAGCCAACCACACAGATCTTTAATTCTAGTTCCAAAGGATCATATATCTCTTGGCCTCTGTGGATACTGCATGCAAGTGTTACACATACATATATTTAGGCAAAATACTCATATTCTAAATAAATTAATTTTTAAAATAAAAAAAATTAAGTAGGCCTTAAAGCAATGACTTCAGTCATCCAATAAGATTTAGATTATAGCCTGATTTTCAAGTCAGGATTTGTAACATGGTTAAATGCTGGTAAGCATAGGTCATAAACTCTTTCATAAAAAGTGAGAGATGTTTTTACCTCTAATCTCAGAAAAGCATAGTAGTGTGCTCAGTTTTTCTGAAACATGGTGTATTGATGTTTGCAAAGGTTTTTCTTGCTTGAGAGGAACAGAAATGAATGTAGATCAGGCTCAAATGCCTGCCTTTGTGCCATAAGTACTGAGATTAAAGGTATAACTTCAGTATGCCTGGCTTTTACATGCTAAAATGCATTTTTAGTTCTGTATATTCATACGTGTTTATAGTAGGGTATGTGTGGGTGCCTGAGGAGGCCAGAGGCATTAGATCCTCTAGAACTGCAGTTATAGGCAGTTAGGAGCTGCCCAGTCCTCTCCAGAGCAGTGTGCTCTTGACTACTGAGGAGTGTCTCCAGCCCTGTGTAATTTTATCAAGTAATAGATAGTACCTTCTGTGAGTTCAAGGCTAGCCTGGTCTACAATAGTGAGTTCTAGAACAGTCTGGGCTACATAGAGTGAGAGACCATTCCTTGGAAAAAAAGGAAAGAAAGCAAATATTGCAGGCCTCTATCTATCTATCTATCTATCTATCTATCTATCTATCTATCTATCT